ATAAGATATAAGCTTTATTTTTTTAAATGGAATCATATATCTTTTGTTATACTAGTCGATTCAGCTTGTCAGTTTCTTCAGAAAAATACTAAGGCATTTTTATTGCGAAAAATCAATGGTTTTAGAAGATATTTGCAATACGTCATTTTACAACCGATCTATCATTAACGATGCGTACCAGTTAATAAATGATTATAGATCGAAGTAATTAGAATCTAATAATCGCAAACATATGCTGTATATTTGAAAATTTTATTGTGAATGAAATGTAACTGTGCACGAGAGAGAGACACGCATCAATAAAGACAACTCATTAAATTGCGGGGAAATATTTTATTAGGAGGTTCAGTGTTCCGAATATAATTTCCTACGATCGATCTTTCGTCGGATTCGATTTCACAGCCAGTTGGACAACTTGATCCGTATTTGAGACTTCTGCCAACTCTGCAGGTAAATCAAAGTCCGTATTTTATTTTCAGTTGCGGAACAGTTTCCGAACGTAATTTATTATTGATTATTGATTTCCGATATACGGAATAAAAGAACGTTAAATGCATATTGAGTCGGGTTGAATAAAAAATTTCTGGGCATTCCAGATAATTAACTGTTCTAAAAAGACACGACGTTTTGAATTTTTCATAAAAAGGAACAACAGCAAAAATATCTTTCTCTTTTTTTTCAATTTCTCGATTATTTAAGAGAAGATGGCCGAACGATTTACATGTGCATAATATCGATCGAAATGATATCGAATTGAAATCTAATTGCAGAATAGAAATTGGGAATTTTCAAGATATTTTCAGAATAGAAAATATTTATTACAACGATGTAAAATTGGAAGCTAGTTTTACTGGAAAGAAACTGGGAATTTTCAAGATATTTTCAGAATAAAAGATATTTACTATAACGATGTAAAATTGAAAGATAATTCTACCGGAAAGGAACTGGGAATTTTCGAGATATTTTCAGAATAGAAAATAATTATTACGACGATGTAAAATTGGAAGCTAGTTTTACTGGAAAGAAACTGGGAATTTTCAAGATATTTTCAGAATAGAAAATATTTACTACGACGATGTAAAATTGAAAGCCAATTTTACTGGAAAGGAACTGGGAATTTTCAAGATATTTTCAGAATAGAAAATAATTATTACAACGATGTAAAATTGGAAGCTAGTTTTACCGGAACGGAACTGGGAATTTTCGAGATATTTTCAGAATAGAAGATATTTACTACGACGACGTAAAATTGAAAACCAACTTTAGCGGAAAGAAATTGGGGGATTTTCAAGATAAATTCCGAATGGAAAATAGCGATTCTAAAATACAGATTTACATTTCCGACGATAAGGGAACATGATTTCGTATTTCGCACGCGAGTAAAGTAGAAGAAGGCAGATCTCAGAATTATATTCGACACACAAAGGCGGCGAGCTCTTGGAAACCTGAATACCCTTCGAATTTCATTCACATGACGACCGCTTTTCATGGACTGCATCTTTTTTGTCACCTTCGGGTTGATCTTGATTTCGCATTACCACGCGAGCCGAACCGGCTTGCAGCATGGCTGCGAACATACGATTTTCACGTATTGGAACCAGCGAGAACTCTATACAGGGTAGCTCGGCTGAAGGAGGCCACCTAAATATCTCCTCCCGTTAGATACGCTGATTAGATTGCGGATCTTTATGCATTTACGCGGCGCATACGAGCTCGTAAATGCAAGGAAACCTGCATACTGATTAAAATTAATTAAATGACGACCTCGAATAAGGATCTATCTCACCTGTTTTTTTGAAGTTGACATTATTAGGGAATACCTCAGATTTCATTGATTATCATCGAGGTTAAACATTTGATTTTCGTCCGCGTTTTAACATTTAATTAACCAAATTTCTTTGTAACAACTGAACGAATCATTTCGTCACCTTCCATGCGTATTCTCTGACATTTCAAGATGCATACAGTTTCTTTTTTCCTTACATTTTATCGACGTTTACGTGAAATAATTAATCTTCTGGTCGAGACGGTGTCGATCGGCGCGCGGTCTGGCATCTTTTTTCTTCGATCTGGAACAGAAAATAAAAAACGAAATGTATCTCATAATACAGCTCTGTGCGTCGTGTGAACCTAAATTCTGTTTAAAAGATGCAGAACGAATGATAAAAAGCAGCGGGGAAAAAAATTACGCATCTTCAATCGTCGACGAATGTCGCTGAAAAGAGACGCAAAAGTTTTATCAATGTTATACGTTATAAGAAAATTTGCTCATTTTTATAACAATGTAAACACCTCTTCGCAGCCCCAAAAAGATTCTAAACATCTTGAAACTTGACAGTATGTTTTTGCTTTCGCTAAGATTACAATTTAAATAGCCAACGACCGCTGCTTTTTACGCGCGACGAGTATACTCGTCAAAAAATACTGCCACTTCTTCGTGGCTCGTCAAGCACAGCTAACTGGTTAACGGTTTACTCGATGCTGCCAGCTTGAAGAGACAGGACAATCGTCTTCTACGAAGTCCATTACGAGTCCGTATTTCGAGTCGAGAAACGAAAACTATTAGGAACTCGGAGAGAATTTTTGTGAGTGGCCGCACAGTTTCCGCGGTGTAATTAAAGGCGACCGTATATCACGGCGAGAAACGTAATAACAACGAGAAGGGATCGCGGGGCGCGAGGCGGGCGGATCTTTCGTTCCAATAAAGAATTTCTTGCCGCCAATAAAAGGCGGTCACGTTCACGCGAGGATCCGCGCAACGACGCCATAAAATTATTCAACCGGGATCCAGGCGCGAAACCGGGGAACTTAATCCGAGCCGAATGGGAGCGTCTCGTTCTCGATCGTGTCGTGCAGGACGATCGTAACTTGGCCGGGCCGCGACCCGTGTCGCGCCAGTTTCACGTTAGATTAAGAGCGCGACGCGTGCGTGATGAAAATGATGTCCGCGGACGCGAACGAAATGCGACGAGGGTGCCTCGGTTCCCCCCGACGCGACGGACATTGCTCACTTTTCTTAAAAATTTCACCGAAATTCTATTACCAATAACAGTAATGTCTCTCTAATTGACGCTCTAATTGTCTCTCTAATTTGCGAAGAGGAGATAGCGGTTTGTTTGTATAGTTACGAATTGTCAACAACTATAAAAAACGAGCTGCAAGGCTCGAATAATTGTATTTTCTCTTCCTGAATTGTCCATTTTTCTGCACAATCTGAGCGTCAATTAGGGAGACATTACTGTAATATGTACGTATTAACGCTAGATTTACGGAACCCGACAAAATGGCGGAATGCATAAAGGTGCATTTATGAGTTATTTATTCAACTTATATGTTACCAACGGCAAATGTTAACGTTCGTTATAAATACCAGGAAATTAAAATGTTTAAATCATCATTAATTAATTCATACCAAAATACAAATTTAATATCTTAGAATTTAATTGTAATCGAGTATAATCTTTAATATTCTTTAATTTCTTTGAAATAAAAATAATTTTATTAGGAAAACTGGAATGAAAGAAAATTCTATATATGTGAGTACAATAATGTCTCCCTAATTGACGCTCAGATTGTGCACAAAAATGGGCAATCTGGGAAGTGGAGATACGATTATTCGAGCCTTGTAAACAACAAAGGAGAAATACATTATTGATTAATTAGTAGTTAATTTTTATCGAAAAATAGACTTCTAAAAAATTGAAAGAACTTTTAACAAACGGCGGGAACTTAGTTATACCAACGCAATACAGTAATATCTCTCTAATTGACGCTCAGATTGTGCACAGAAATGGACAATTTGGGGAGAAGAGACACGATTATTCGAACCTTGTAAACACAACAAAGGAGAAATATATTATTGATTAATTAGTAGTCAAGTTTTATTGAAAAATAGACTTTTAAAAAAATTTTTAAACTTTTATAAAATGGCGGGAACTTAGTTATACCAACGCAATACAGTAATATCTCCCTAATTGACGCTCAGATTGTGCACAAAAATGGGCAATTTGGGAAGTGGAGATACAATTATTCGAGCCTTGCAAACAACAAAGGAGAAATACATTTTTGTTTAATTAGTAGTTAATTTTTATCGACAAATAGACTTTTGAAAAATTGTAAAAACTTTTAACAAACGGCGGGAACTTAGTTATAACAACGCAATACAGTAATGTCTCCCTAATTGACGCTCAGGTTGTGCACAAAAGTGGACAATTTGGGGAGAAGAGACACGATTATTCGAGCCCTGAGGTTTGTTGTTACAGTTACGAATTCTTAACAACTACAAAAATGAACCGCAAGGCTCGAATAATAATCGTATCTCTTCTCCCCAAATTGTCCATTTTTGTGCACAATCTGAGCGTCAATCAGGGAGACATTATCGTATTGCGTCGACACAATTAAGTTCCCGCTGTTTTCTTTTTAAATCTTTTAAAAGTCTATTCAGTCCAAAAGTCTGGTTCGAAAACTGTGTTTCGACCATGTCTTTGGGAAAGGGACAAGTGCGGGACGCGCGCATCCAAGCTAATACAGGTTCATCGAAATCTATTTAACTCCTCACGGATTGCCGAACTTCGGCCTAATAACCAGGAACACGCGAGCCCATCTAGCCAGCCGGCGAGATTACATCTTCGCCGGGCAACGCCGAATGTTAAACGAGCCGAGTCCCCCGCCCGGGGATTCGCTCGCGGAATATTCATGAAGAACGCCGAAAATCGGACGCGCAACCGTTCCGTTGATCTGTTCGTCAGCTGCCGAGCCGGGATACCTCGCAGATTGCGATCACGTACGCTGGCCCCGCTTCGCAGCGATGTATTGATTTGTGTCAGCGAACTGCTTGACACGGCCGAGGTGATTGTTTCACAGTTCCTCGAGCGCCTGGGAACCAGCGGGTTGTTTTGTCTTTGCGAGAAGAAACGGCGCGTTGAGCGATCGGTTTTCGCGCAAAAAGAAGAAGAAGAAATGTCAGTTTTAAGAAATATTTTTTTAAACGAACTTACTATTCTCTGTGTAGGATTATTATCCGGTGCTCCGGGGGCACCCTATGGCAGGGGTGGCCGAACTTTCGATCGCTACGGGTGACTCGTTTTTTGAAATTATAGGCGCGATCTGGCAACGTCGCATGTGTGAAGCGGTCGTAAGGAAAGTAGTAATTTAAAGCGGAAAATAAGTTTAAGTTTAGGAATATCTCTAGGAATAGTGTAAAAAGTACGAGTGATAGATACATATAAAAGTGACCAAAGTATATAGCTTTGGTCACCCCTGCCCTGCCACCCCATCCCTATCTATGCTACCCTCTAAAAGTATGCAAAAAAGTTGCTAAAAAGGCTTACAAATATCTGAATAATAAATATTCGCATTGATAAAGTTTCGAAGGAAGTTCAACGAGAACGTAGCGCGAAATGAATGATCCGGGTCGTTCTTACCCCTCCTTTCAAATTATGCGAAAGAAGTCTGTCCGACTTAGGGTAACGGAGTCGGTTATTGTGAGCCGACCAATTGCTTGTTAAATTTTCTTATTTCGTTCATTTTTGAATAAAAGAATTCGACGTATCTTATTCGGCATCGATATCGATATCGATTATTATTCGATAAAATGTAAAGTCAACCCCTTGCCGTACTTCGACGAGTCTGACTCGTGACGAAAATTTCTAGTAATAACTTATACTCTCTTTTAAAATTGGAATGAAGTTCTAATCCCTTGTGACCAATATTTGAGCACTCAAGTAAATTTAGGCATAAATTTAAATTAAGCATTAAATTTTTTAAATTAAGCATCAATTTTCTACCCCTCCTAAGAAATTATTGCGATCGGAAAATATCTGATCGCGGTAGCTGTGAAGAAAATGGCGCGTCAAGGAGTTAATTGTGCCTCAAAGGCACAGTAACTGGTCATCTCGCGTCAGTTCACAGAAACGTAGTTTAATGAGCATAATTTCTGAACGATAAATGCATTCAGGACTAATTTGTATCACATTCCTAGATCCGGGACTTCGATTTTTGGACTTTTCTCGACGAAACGCATCGGAATGTACGCTGAAAAGTCAAAAAAATTGCAACCCCTAAAGTAAAGTTTAGCCTTCATTTTAAATCTGAAGCTTAGAAATGGAAATTACAGTAAATTCTGCCCAATTTCTTTTCAGCTTGCGAGCAAAAATGGACAATTTGGGAACAGGAGATACGATTACTATTATTATTATTATTATCATTGACAACCGATGATTGCAAAAAAGAGCCGCGAGGCTCGAATAGTCGCATCTCCTCCTCCCAAATCGTCCATTTTGGTCTACAATCCGAACGACAATTACGGAGAATTTACTATATATACCATGTTTGAATTACTGCGAATTCAGCAGCCAAAGGGCTCAGGTTCCACAGTACGCGAAGCACTCGGTCATACGAACTGCCGATCCAGAAAAATATAAAGCATATAAAATACAAAATATCAAAAAAGAAAAAAAAAAAAGAAACATAAAATACATTAAAAGCCACAACGCGCGCGTCGGATCCGTCCGAAAGATAGGGACGGCACGAAACAGCGGGTTTGCTCGCATCGTTCGGATCATTATCGCGAAGTCGTCGGTGTTGAGGACTCACCCTGCATGAAAAAATGCATCGAGCCCAGACACAGCTGCCGCACTATCGCCGTAACTTCGGAGAACACTTCTCGCGTGGCAGCCCCAGGAGCGCGGAGCGAACCGACTGCGCGTTGCGAACGGACAGGCGTCCGACTTCGCCCGGTTTCCACCGAGATAGATAAAGAGAGCGAGAGCGAGAGAGCGAGCGAGAACGAGAGCGAGGGATCGAGGGATCGAGGGAGCTCGAAGGGATGCGGCGAGAGGCGGTTCTGGCTCGGCGGTGGTTCCGTCGCGTCGAACGGTCGGCGTCGTAGTGCGTGCCGCTGGCGGAGTGCTGGCTGTCGGAGGCAGCGCAAAGAAGCGGGTTCGTGGCGATTCGGCTCCGCTCGGCCCGCACGAGCCGCGCCGCCGAAAGAGAAGTCGTCCGACTCGAGTCGTGTGTGCGGCTGCAGTCACTCGTGGAATTCTGAGTGGTGTCAGTGCTCCGGCGGACGCGATCGCGCGCGCGAGTGTGTCGTTCAAGTAGCGTCGGTTTCCACGCTCGTAGGGATAGGAAAAGGGAAAATAGGAAGAGCCGAGAATAGGGAAAGGTGCGACGCGTGTTCGAGGGTGCTTTTGCTTTTTGTTTTCCGTGGCCCGTCGTCGGACCAGTGCTCCCCGGTACCACCGAATCGGAGTAAGCGGATCGTCCGACGAGATCGGAAGCTAAAAAAAAAAAAAAGAAAAAGGAAAGAAAAAAGAAAATCCCGCGAAGATCAGCAGCATCCCGCGGATTCTCGAAACGGTGCCGCGTCGCGCGCGTACAGTGGAGTGCTGTGCTGTGTTTTCCGTAAAACCGGGACCCGAAGGCTGTGCTCCTTTTTTTTCGTGGCCGCTGTGTGTGCCGTGCGAGAGTGATCGTCGTCGTCGTCGTCGTGGTCGTCGTCGCTTTTTCAACGCCGAGGACCGCCGCGAAGATCGCGCGTAAACCAGCCGGCAGCCTTGCACCTGGTACACAGAGGCCCGAGCCGTTCCGCCGGCGAATTTCGCGAGGAGATATACGCGCGGGAAAGTCGCGTCCAGCCGGCTTCGATTGCTCGCCGCTCCGGAGACGGTCCGTGACCTCGTCCGCGCGCTCCCACCAAGATCGGAAGCCAAGAAGCCGCTCACTTTCGAGTAATCGGCGAACGAGCCGAACTCTCCGCTATCAGTTTCGTCCTTATACGTTTCGACATTCCTCGCGTCGCGCGGCCCATTAGCAGCCGGAGCGGTAGCCCGCAGCCAGAATTCTTCGGGGCCCACGTGTCTCCATAACCGATCACTGCCGGCTCTCCTCGTCCATTCAACCTCCGTCTCTTCCGCCGCGCCAAGCCGCGCCGCGACGACTGTCGCCGCGCTTCCTCGCCGAGAAGTCGCCTCTTCGTCGGCCGAGCGTGTTCATTAAGCAGCATCGTCGACGGTGTGATTACGACGTCGATTAGAACCGAACTGTTCGGAGGAAGAACGACGCAATCGACAAAACGACGATCCGTGAAAGAAACGCGGTGCCGAGAGAAAGAGAGAGAGAGAGAGCGTCGATCGTCGTTCGATAGCTCGTACCCGGCTGCTGTGTTCCGCGAAGTGAAAACGCCTCGCGGATGATAATTGGCAGCGGAGCTCGAGGCGGCGATCCGATACGTTGCATCTGTGCTGTTAATTAAAGTCCGTCGTTTGATCGGAGGGGCCCGCGAGTCAAGTCCGAAGACACCGATAGGCGAGCGAAAGCGGGGCAACACAACAGATTCCGGAATATGGTGTAGCCGAGCCCGACGAGATAACCACGGACGTGTATAGGTAATTTTCACTACAACACGTCTCGCGCTCTCGCGGGACGTTTTCATTTTTTCACCCGCGCCTCTCTTCTCCGCGATTCTTTACTCCCACCGCACCCTCCTTTTCTTCCAGCCGCCCCCTTTTTCTTGCTCGTTTCAGTGCGTCCTTAATGAGTTCGACTCGCCGGTGCGTCCTTGCATCGCGATCGGAGCCGCCGCATCGTTGCGCTCCGATCCTGGCCAGGGAAAATTGAAAACGCGGCGGAAGGTCGCGCGCGCGATGTCTCGTTGAACAGAGGCCGATCGGAGATCGATCGATCGGTCGAGCTTTCGCCTACTGTTCCTTAGAAGGGACAGTTTCTTCGCGGGTACATGCTACTGTCGTTCGCTCCCTTGTTTTGGGCCAGGGAAATTGAAAACGCGGCGAAAGGTCGCGCGCCTTCGCCGGATATCTCGTTGAACAGAATCCGATCGGAGATCGATCAATCGATCGGTCGAGCTTTCGCCTACTGTTCCTCAGTGGGGACAGTTCCTTCGCGGGTACATACTACTGTCTTTTGCTCCATTGTTTTGGGTCAGGGAGATTGAAAACATAGCGGAAGGTCGCGCGCGCGCGCGATATCTCGTTGAACAGAAGCCGTGTGTCCGATCGAAGTTCGATCGATCGATCGAGCTTTCGCCCACCGTGTTCCTTAGAGGGGACAGTTCCTTCGCGGGTACATACTACTGTCTTTTGCTCCATTGTTTTGAGTCTGGAAAATTGAAAACGCGGCGAAAGGTCGCGCACGCCTTCGCCGGATATCTCGTTGAACAGAATCCGATCGGAGATCGATCAATCGATCGGTCGAGCTTTCGCCTACTGTTCCTCTGTGGGGACAGTTCCTTCACGGGTACATATTACTATCGTTTGCTCCCTTGTCTTGGGCCAGGGAAATTGAAAACGCGGCGAAAGATCGCGCGCGCGCGATATCTCGTTGAACAGAGGCCGGTCGGAGATCGATCGATCGAGCTTTCGCCCACCGTGTTCCTTAGAGGGGACAGTTTCCTCGCGGGTACATGCTACTGTCTTTTGCTCCCTTGTTTTGGGTCAGGCAAATTGAAAACGCGGCGATAGATCGCGCGCGCGCTCGGATATCTCGTTGAACAGAAGCCGTGTGTCCGATCGAAGATCGATCGATCGAGTTTTCGCCCACTGTTCCTCAGTGGGGACAGTTTCTTCGCGGGTACATACTGCTGTCGTTTGCTCCCTTGTTTTCGAGGATCCTCCGATCTAATTCACCCGCGCCGGGAACTCGATTCTAGGCCCGATAGGAGATTACGCGGACAATTTGTCCGTTGTCGGCGGCATTGTCCGAACAGCGATGCCTGAATTGATAACAGGCTCCGATCTGGCCAACGATTCCGTTTACATAATTCATCGCCGCGTTGCTTAGCTGCTTCGCCGTGATCCCGGCTGCACTTCGAAAGCGCTGCGCCAAACTCCAGGCGCCGAATGTTTAACTTAACTCCTTGACACGACGGTTTCTTCGCGGTTATCGCGAGTAGAAATTTTTCGACCGCGATGATCTCTTGGAAGGGAAAGGAATTCGATGATTATAGTGTTCCTGAATTTACTCGAATGCTTAGATATTGACGAGCGGAGATTGGAGTTTTATTGCAATTTCTTTTTTAACCCTTTGCACTCGCGAATGGTGACTCTGAGGCATCACTAAAATTTGTTACATCGCGCTTTAAGATAACTTTTATATTAACGAGGTTTAGATTTAAAAAATTGTTAAGAATGTAACTCTTGGGCGAGTCCTAAGTGTCAATTTCATGTGCATAAAATGCATTTTGCCATGTAAAATAAAAACGCTATAAGTTGGAAGAATGATTTTATATGTACGGTGTTAAAATAGCTTCGAGTGCAAAGGGTTAAGGGATGAAATAACGTCTGTACTCGATATGTTATTACTACGGCAAGGGGTTGAATATGAACAGACTTATGCAACGGAAAATCAATTGTAAAGCCATGTGTGCGAATTAAAAAAGAATTTACCGGTTTAAACGCAAGTTTATTATAATTAGTTGACTCTTTGTTACTTCGATGTGATAACGGCTTACAATGTTTGCGCTTCCAAACGATGGAAGATAAAAATTTAAGCGCGAAATTCCTTAAAATAGTTTGCACTTGGCGTTAAATATAGACGTACGTTGCATTCGAATTTTTCTTGTCAGATAAAAGAGAACTATAGTCTAGGGTCTAAAGGTTAGTGGCTTTGAATTATGATACAGATGTCGCCGTTAGGTAATATTTTATAAATTCGTTGAATAGGATATATATATACAAAAAAGATGAAAACGAAGGATGTCAACGAATTTATAACATATTAATATAGATGAGAATCATATTGTATAACAATATGATTCTCATCTTTATTATTCGGTAACATTATTTAATAGTAAGAATAATTCGTGTGCGTTACATTATGTTATTCGGAAGATCGAATTGATTTCAATTTCAATTGCAACGTATACTTCAATCGAGAAATTTACTGAATTATTTTTTGTCAAAGCGGCCTCGTAACTTTAATCACTGTGAAATGAATGACATTTGACGATCGGCCGTCGGAATAAATTCTCTCGATAAACTTTTATTTAGTCCCAAGTTTTAGCATTGCCTTCGAGAGTACACTTCGGAGAATTCCATTCTTATCGTTTGGGTCCGTTCCACAGATTCCTTTTGATCGCGAACATTTATTTCTACGATATTCCGGCGCCTAACCACGCGTTATTTTATCTAATCGTCGTTCGTTGTTTAGATAACGAAAAATCTGAAACAAACTTTTAGATAGTACAGTGTTTTGGTATCAGGGTGATACAAAAATGAATTTTCGGGAAAGGAGAGCCTCCGCCGTAATTATGTTTGAAAGATTATCGAGAATCTCTAATTGCATTCGACACGTTGTGTTTCGTTGTCTAAATATGGCGAAGCATCGCGGAATTATTCATAGCAGTTAAATTCGGAACATCACGGATTCGGAGCTATCCAATTCTAGTACACATTCTCAAAGCAGACATCTTCGATATGCTTTGGACCGATATACATAGATCGTTTACTTCTAATTTTAGGGAATTTCGTCGTCGCTGTATCGATAATAGCGGTTCGAGCGTGTTTCTATTTAAAGAATACGTGAAAGGATTGATGGACCTAACGTCCAACGTTAATTTATCCCTGAAACGTTAATCTTCAATGCGTAAAAATCTTTATTATTTTCTCTTCAAACGGATGTGTATAGGGTGAGTCGTTTAACCTTAATTTTTCTTGTAAAAAATAACTTTCCTTAATCTTTCTTGTATAAAAAATATTTATAGAATAGGTGAAAGGATTAATGGACCCAACGTCCAACGTTAATTTGTCCCTGAAACGTTAA